TGTGTGTGTAGCTACTTAAAAATGTACCTTTCCGACTTACACAGAAATTCAGCTTAAGCACAAACCTATAGAACCTACCTTATTTGTAACTTGGGGGCTCCCTGTATTTGCATTTCCATTATTTGCCTTGAGGGCAATATTTAGTGGTGAGGTGGTCTTGAAATTAAATGAATATTACTTTACACTTTTCAGACTTAAGAGATTAAAAGAAGGCTACTAGATTCATGTTAAGAACTAACCAAAGCACATTTCAATGAATAAATGGATATTATCAATTCCTCCTATGAAATGAGTAATAGAAGCCTATGTACCACTTTTACAATTGCTTTGACATGTTAATGGGTAGCACAGTCTCATAGAACTACGGGGCATACATAAGATAATGTTAATTTGTTTTCCCATAAGTATATGTATATCCATATACAACCAGTTAAACCTAGTCAGCATTGGCTTCTTGACAAATCTATTCCAGTTGTAGTGTGCTTTCATATCAAGCTGAATTAGTCATAAAGTAAAGAGAGTTTTTTGGTGTCTTATCACGCCTTTCTGCTGACAATGTGATCTAAAAAGTCAGATTTAGTTATTTAAAATAAGGGCTAAATTCTGAGTATAACGGTAACATTTTAAGCAAGCTCTCTTTTCAGTAAACACTTGTAGTATGGAGAACAAAGTACTAGATGATTACATTACACTGAATGGTTAATGTAGGACCACAAAAAAGTCACAGAAAGAGAAAAGAACAAATTCAATGGATTTTTTTCCTTGAAAGCAACATATGTTATGAATATGAATACTTTGGGAAAGATGTTAAGAGTTTCTCCAAAAATGTGAAAATGCAGTTCCAAGGGTGTATGCTCTCTCACATATGCCAACATTAAGATGAAAAAAATCATTTTCTTTTTGACCTGAAAATTTACAATCATTCATGGCAAGAGCAAACAAACTTATATAAAACCTTTGCATGTTGTAAAATGGAAAAAATATATATAAATGAATGATTAAAAATACAGTTTTCTGTTCAAAATGGAGATGGAAATTAAATGTCAATCAAACCTCTTACTTAAAGGAGCCAAAAGATAAAATAATTCCCTCAAAAAGGATGCAAATTCTCAAAATATGCTACAAAATTTTGAAAGCAATACACTATTTCCAGTAATTTTTAGTTATGTTCCTATTACTAAAACACAAAAGCATTATTTAAACTATTTTTAATGTTTACAAGCTCAAAGAAAAATGCATCTTGATAATATATACACCTCAGTGACTCCATAGTATATTTTGACCAAGCATTAGTAACACTGTTATATAATCAATTTAATTTCTTCTAGTTCTATAAATTACAAGCAACTGCATTGAGTGCTACATTCTGAATGTTCTCTTTTTGTAGCCCAAGGATGAAAGATGAAAAGTGCTGTAATTATTTATTTTGCTTATTCACTGATAGGATCTTTGGCTCTTACTTAAGTATAAAATTCAAGAATGCCAGCAAATGCACACTTGTTGAGATTTGTAGGCCACCAACAGTTTGATAAAAGTAACAACTGACAAAACTTAAGTAGCAGGCAAGTCGTGAGCTCCCTCCAAAGTATTTAGTTAGTTAGGTTTTGTTGATTGCTTCCTTGCTATCGTGACTCCCCGCAAAAGAGATATACAGGAGATATAAAGAGTATTAGTTAAGAACATATTAAAGCAATTTTAAATAACCAGTGTTAAAAACAAGTTTAACTAAAGTTCAGCCAAAACATCTTTTAAACTAATGGCTATAAGCCCAACTGAAACGGAATCAGCATTATTTCCTTTGGGAACAAGTTCCAAAAGTGAGATGCTGCTTCTTAGAAAGTCCCCTTCTGTATACTCATCAGCAACCTTTCAGCGTAAGCAGGACACACAACATTGCTCTACTCACGATCTCAAATTTCAGGACAGCTCATAGATGGAGGAGGGGAAGACTTTTTTTAGCTATCTTGGCCCCAGTCCAAAAGGACTATGTAGCTCAAAACCAGAACCTTGAATTGAGCTTGGAGACAAACTGGAAGTCAGTGCAGGTGGTTCAAAATCCATTATAGTTGGTCTTTAATGCTAGGCAATACTCCAGGCACTGAGCATTGCTACAGTTGCTGGTTCTGAACACTTAAAACAGAGTACTTTGCAATCATTGAAAATATAGGATTTTAAAATGAAAGTAAATCAATTACAGTGGTCATATTTCTCCTGCCTTTTCAACAAAATCTAGATCTTGGAAATCTTTATCCCACTTCTTCCCTAATTTTCTTCTGATGTTCTGTGGAGTGGTTTTTCCTACCTAGCTGCTACCATTGGCTCACCTTTCCTGCTATTCTTACCTTTGTTTTTAGTTATTATTGTTTACTACTGATTGTTCTATTATTTATATTGGGGCAAAATTGTGAGAGCTTTGAAAGTTGTGTTGCACATAAACATTCACACAGTCCTTTTCTCTCTCTCTCTCTTTTTTTTTTTGCAACTGCCTTGTAATCAAGTATGATTGTTTCAACAAAATCCCAATGCAACAGTAAATCAGCAAAACATGACAACTGTTATATTGAACCTTGCCAGTATTTAATGAATATAGTACTACATATCTAGCAAGTAAATGCAATAAACATTAACAGAAACTTAACAACAGAGATGTCATGAAACAATTCATTCCTTTTCCTTGCTTTAAATAGGAATGCTTTAAAAAATCTTCTTACATATTTTATATAAAAATAAATAATACTAATAATTATTATTTATTATAGTACATTTAAAGCCTATACAGTGTTTCATATGGTTTTCATTATTTTTTGGAAGAGCACTCTTGGAAATACCATACACCCCAACTCATTGTTAACATTTAATATAAGAAATGAACTTTCTCCACATTTCCCCTTTCAATGTTTTCTTTGTGTTTTAAAAAAGAAAAAAATACTTCAAGAATCTTTATAATAATAGTTAATTGCTATTGGTTTTTTAAAATTGCTTTAAAATTCCCGATATAGTCCATGGGATTTTTCAGTATGGGTAAAAGTGCAAAGGTCAAAGGTAAAGTTGTTTTCCTGCTGAGCAGTTTGGAATGGTGTGTAGTGTGTACAATTAGTGCTCTGCATCCATACATTTATTCACCTATATTTTCAAGAGAGGAAACCAGATTCAATTCTTCTGCTTAAAAATGAAATCATATTGTGAAGAGCAAGAAATTAAGTTTTTCTAACCAGTATAAACAGTGAACTATCCATTAATCGGCAGATGGTCTGGAATTGTGTTCGTTCTCTCCCACTGCACCCTACTTTTCATGTTGACTTTTTTACAAACATATTTCAAAAGCTTACTAAATGGAAATTAGAAAGTGTCTCTTACCGTGGTTAGACTACTTTCAAGGAAACATGTGGGTATGGGAGTTTTCCTTTTAAGCTTCAGCAGAGTGATTTGGGTATGTGCATTCAATTAATTCAGATTTTTTTTTCATCTATAGGCACTTTCTGCCATGACTGGTTTCTGCTGCTTCTAACATAGTGCAGATGTTGTGGGATGGTGGAGAGATACAAAGTCAACCAAAGATGCCTTGTTGCTTAAAACAAAGGTCAGCATGGCCTTTCTGTCTGCATGATGTACGTAAGTCAATCAGACTGGTAACTGTATCTCACAACCTTCTTACATGGAGTCTTTTTTGCTCTTCTCCATGCTACCTGCATGGAGTCCTCCAGAGCCCATCAAATGACACAGGGCTATTTCCGGTGGGACTCTGTTGGGTTCTGTGTTTGCAGTGTGCCAGCAGCCCCGAAAAGTGGAGCCCAAAGGAGTTGGGTATACACTAACTCCTCATAAAGAAGCTGGAGTGGAAGAGGGAGGAATCCAGGGATGCCGCCCCATGGTTTTCTCTGCTGTCTCCCAGCTTCTGGACCTCAATGGCATTGGCAAAAAAACAGCATCCTACTTGGCATGTATATACCTGTACATATCAACTGACCAACTGAATGAATTGTTTATTGTATTAGCCATAGACCATGTCCTTGGCATGTAAGGTCATAACAGTAGTTTAGGAGACCCAGGGTAGCTTGAATGGGACATACACATAACTCTCTCCTCCATTTCCTTGTTGTTACTTGCCACAACTCAGCATCTGCCATCTGAAGCAGCATTTCATGCTATCCAGTGTTATGGCCTCTGAATTCACCTCTGAATTCACACCACTCCACATTTCAAACTGAGGGGTGGTATGCAGTGTGTGTGTGTGTGTGTGGTTGGAATTTAAGGAACCTGGGACTAAGCTTGGATTTGTCTGCATGGGTTTTTTTTTGTTAATTATTAGTGCCTCTATACTAATTTATCAATTTATTTATTCATATGAGATCATGAAATGTTTCTCTGAAACTATTTGTAGGCGTTCTGTTTTTTTATTAAGTTTCATCGCATTCTCTCCCTGATATCTATTCTTGTTTTTTTTAATACCAGCTCTTCATCACAATTTTAAAACAATTTTTCATGCTGTAACTGTTGAAGAATTATAATTTACATCTTTAGAGGAATGCACCATGATCCTTTCTGCTGCCATTAACTAACTCCCTCTATATTTATATAGGGTTTATATAGGGTTGACATGGAATTCAAGATTTTAAAAGTAATGTAAAATTGGCAAGACATTACAATTTCCCCACAGCATAAAGGCTTGCAAACTAAAAGGGAAAGGTCTTTCCAGTATTATATTTTAAATAGTAAAAAAGGAACTGTGTGCTATCTTGATTCAGCATTAAAGGCCTTGTAAAAAAAACTGCCTTTTGAAAATCATTCCCAAAGCAACGGTGCTATTTCAATCAAATTACTTGTACATGTATGCACTTCTACAATAGCATACTGAGACTTCCAATCATCATCAATTGCTCTCCTTACCAATGTCATTAAAATTAACTCCAAACTAAGATAAAAACAATTATGGGATGTTTTTAATACAACTTTACTAGATGATTTTTCAGCAGAATATGAGAATAAACCTTCTTCCTTACCTGAACACTGTACACACAGAAGATAGAGAGCAAACAGGAATAGCAAATGCAGCTTCCATTTCCACTGATAGCACCACCACACTTGGCTCTCGTAAGACATCCTACAGAAGAAAGAATTACAAGTTTGAGAACATTTAAAATGTGTTTTCTCTTTGTGCAGAGGTTTTAGTGTGTTCTGATCATACTCTTACCAATACAGCCAATAATAAATATCAGCACCTTTTCTCACGTGTTCTCCCTTGCATGCGCCACACAACAATTGAGGTCTTGCCAGTGAGATGAATGATTTCCCAGTCATATAACTGGCAGCCATTATTGTTAATGTATGTACTTATTATAGATATGTGTAATTTGCTGCACCCTAAGAAATAACCAGGAGATATAAAGTAAGTATAACTATGAACAGTTATTAACACAATAAAATTACAACTACAACAAATTGAGAGGCAGCTGATATAATAAAAGAAACAAGGATTTTGAATGCCTGATCAAAAAGAACCAGAAGGACTGAAATTCTGGTGCTGCTTAAAGTTATGCATCTGAATTTTGGAGTCTTAAGGAAGCCACAGCAAAGAAGTCTCTTTTTCATCTTGTCACTTAACAGGTAAAAGTACTTCATGAAAAAGTCTTCCCTGCATATCTCAAATAGGAAGGATGCTAGAGAGAGAAACACTATTTCACAACTTTTTTCATGTCAGGAGTGACTTGAGAAACTGCAAGTCACTTCTGTTGTGAGAGAATTGGCTGTCTGCAAGGATGTTGCCCAGGGGATGCCTGGATGTTTTGATGTTTTATCATCCTTGTGGGAGGCTGGAACTGAAAAAGGGAGCTCAACCCTCTCTCTCTGGAGTCGAACCGCTGACCTCTCGATCAGCAGTTCTGCTGGCACAAGGGTTTAACCCATTGCGCCACCAGCAACTAGGAACAGGTATTTTCTCAACTTCTGCCAGGTTTTCAGTAATATCCAATGTTGTGTTCTTGGGGCGTTTGATGACAATATGCTTAAGCAAAAAGAGAACTGTTTAACAAAGGTACTGCGTAAAAAACGGCTTTAAAAAAAGGTTTATCATTTTTATACTGTTCTGTTGCAGTATGTTTTCTTTATTTTATTTGAAATTTGAAAGCTTTTATCATTATGGGTTTTTCCCCCCCAAACTCACCATATACAGAATGACAAAGTTCTTCAGAATTACAGTGCTATTATACCAACTTAACTTCCAAGTTTCCTGGGATTGGCAGTTTAGGGAGATGTGTTGAGAATTCTCAGACAGAGAGATTTAGTAGCTCAGCAAAATACAAAGCCCAGGATTCCAAAGCATATATCTATAGCCACTGAAGTGAAATGGTAGTGCTATAATTGTGTACTGAGAAAGGTTCTGTGGTCTATCAGACACAATTTAAGCTGCTCAGATCACCATCTATTTTCCTATTTCTTCCATTCTTTCCCTCAGGCTGTTTTTCAAACATCTTATGTCCCACCCAAGTAATCTAGAAGGCAGGTCCATCATGTAACTAGCAACTGCACCCACAATGTTCCTTTATGGGCTTAACTACCTGCTAAAGGCAAGTTGCCACAATGATGCACACTCTCTTAATTTATTTTATTTATTTATTTCCAACATTTCTACCCCGCCCTTCTCAACCCCGAGGGGGGACTCAGAGCGGCTTATACTGGCAACAATTTGATGCCACAATGAACAAAACAATTATAACAACAATTTAACAACCATTTAAAACAGTAAATAAAACAGTCATTAAAAAAACAATTTAAAACATTATTATTAACAGTTACATAAAAAGTGAAGTGTTTTTTTTTTCAAAAAGGAATTTGTCAAGACACAGCCCAATGCACAGGAGCCAGAGTGAATGGTTGGCATTCATCTATCCATCTTGAATGTGACCCTCATATTGCTGTATGTGGGGTTTTGTTTGTTTGTTTTGCTCAGAAAATAAAAGTAAGTATTTCTTGCCTTTATTCCAGCATGCTCTAACTTCTGTTGGCCTTGGGAAGAGATTGAGAGGGAAGCAGAGGCAGCTTAATGACCTCAGGGCAATGCCCTACCACTGCCTGTTCATTTAGGTTCCTGGTTCTGAAGGGGGAAAGGATCATCCTTTTACCATGAAATTCCCAATTATGATGCAATCTCCCAGGTATGGCCCAGGGCAGCCTAACATATTGAAAGCCTACCCATCGAAGATGACTTCAACAGAAATAGCTAGAATGGGAATGGGTCAGTGGTCAGTTAGCCAAAGCAGTATTAGTCCATGTAGGATTCCTCCTGACTGGGTCAGGTGTAGTGGTACACAGATTTGCTTTCTGCCTCTTTATATCCACTAAGTTACTGCTTCTTCTACAGTTCTTGAAAATGGAGTGGATGGTGAAGATAGATGTCCCAAGATGTGTTTTATTTTTGCCTCCTGCTTGGTTGTGGTGTTCTGTGGTGTTTGGGGTAAGCATTCATATCCTCTTTGTCTCCAACATGTTTTTTTTATTGCCGATGATAACATGATTGTTACTACTCTGCACCCAAGGAGGAGATGGTAAGGCAGAGTTCCCATGGTTATAGCATATTTGAAATTGGGCACTGATGAGAATGGCAAAAAACAATCAAGGATGGAATTTGGGGCAGGGCTAAAAATGGAATTGTAGCACTGTAATTGTATAATGTGAAGGCCCCTTGTCCCAACATAGATTCAGAATGGCAGGGGCTCCAAGATGATGGAGTAGGAAGTGGCAAACTTAACACCCCAGCTCCCTGTTGCTTGAGGCAATTGCCTCGCTGAGTCTAATAGTAGGGTTAGCCCTAGTAATAGAGTCTAAATTAAACATAGCAGTTTATGTTTAAGGCTGTGCAAGAGAATGAAGGAAATACAAAGCTGCAATAAAAAGTATGTATTCACTAAGTGTGTTATATAATAACTAAGGCAGGCTTAATAATTTCAAAAAATTAACTATTTATTTATTTATTTATTTATTTATTTATGGCATTTATATGCCGCCCTTCTCACCATGAAGGGGACTCAGAGCAGGGGGACTTACAAGTAAAGGGGGACTTACAAGTAAAATGTAAATACAATATAAATACACTGGAGGCAAGATGGAACTGCCTTCATGGCAGCATTCCTAGTATTCCATTCTCAAACTGCTAGAAAGTGTCACTGAAGAATACTGGAATAACACTCTTTTTAGCACTGTAGAGTGATGAGAATATTGTTGAGTGAGAAGGAGAAGCTTCCAAAACACACACAAAAAAACAAAAATATGAATGCAAGGTTCCAGGGAATACCTTTGATTCTGCACATTCACAAGAACTGCAATGTTTAGCACAAAAATCATTCATAGAAATGGCTTGGAAATGTGTGAAAGGAAACCACCTTCTCTTTGGTTTTAGATTCCTGCCCTCCCCTATCAGTCAGAGGAAATATCTCCCTGGATTTTACAAAAATACATCTGTTATAACTTACTGACACTTAGATAACAACATGAAAAGTTTATCTACCCAAACAAACTCTTTTAAAGCAAAAGGGGGAAATACATGACTGGTGGCCACATGTATTATCCCAAGGGTGTTTTTGATATTTCCAGATTACCTGACTCTTCCTTTTCTTGCAAAAAGGAAAAGGGAGAAAATCCTTATCTGAGAAATCTCCAGGAAAGCAATTTACTTTTTGAATAGGTTGTGGTGTGTGTGATGTTGAAGTATTTAGCACTTCTTTTAAATCCTGTTTTTTAAAACTGTAAGTACACTTTGAGCTACTTTGGAGATGTATTACTTTGGAGATATTTTACCATTTGTCATTCTCCCAAAAGATCCTAATGACAGGAAACGGTTACCCAAACCCTGCTTTAAAGGGCAAGAAAGGAATGGAAGATTGTGATTGTTGACAAGGGTTATTCCCAATTGTATAGCACCCCAGGATAATTCTTTTTGCTAGTTAAGTTTACTAGTTCTTATTCTTCATACTCAACTAAGTAGCTGATTGTAAAATACATTTTTCTTTATTGAGGGTTATTATAAACTACCAACTTAACAGTAGCTTAAATCTCTGACATGGAGAAAATTGAACTTTTAGTAGAGTTGAAGATACACTGCTTGAGATTCTGAAACATAAAAAGCTCTTTGATGAAGACAGATACCCTAAAATAACCAGATTGGAATACAACAAAATTATTGTCCTATTGCTCAGGGGAACTGCAATGACAGTATTGCTAAAAGGAAATCCCAGAGGCTGTAATCAATACTTGGTAAATATATAAATATGGTGATACCTTTATGAGGTTTAGAATTTTGTCCACATCTCTTTTAGCCTTAGTTCCCTTTCTGTATAGATAATAGTGAAACACTCGCGAGCACAACATAAGAAAGTCCAGTTATCATCCTTGAGCATCAAGTACAGGCTAATTATTTGCATCCAATTATCATAGCAGACCAAGTCTAAGTGAACACATGTAGTTATTTCAATTATTATTCTACAGTTACATTACTGAGCTCAGCTGAAGGTGAAAATAGTTCCCTTCACAATAAATAACAAAATGTGAGCTATGCTATCACATTCAGTAGAGTTTACTTTAAGCAACACTATACAACCTTGAAAAACAGATGAGAGATACTAGGAACTATTCTGATTTTTTTCCATTTGTATAATTTTAGCACATGCCTTACCAAACATAACAAATTCAGAAAACATAATAAAAATGGAATCCATTATATAACTAGGGGAAAAGAGAGAAACTGTTTTGTCCTGAATCCTTGCACTTACTGAAAAGTTTGATTTGGTTATATTTTCCTTATATGATCATTCAAAATTCAGCATGTGCTTGGAACTCTCCAGTGCTAAAGACAAAATTTACAAATTTATGTACATTGTCTCCCATTCTCTTTTTCTCCCATACAGGCTTAGACTCTTCTTTCCTCAACAATCTCTTTATGCTATAATCAGAGGGAATCCGCACTCCCCAAAAATATTGATGAGACGAACACAACATGTGTTACAAAAATCGATTGAAAATTCTTCAAAATCTAAGCAAAGACCTACAGAACAAAGACACTCAAACAGACGTCCCAAACTTTTTTTCTGGATTGGAAGCCCCCTGACACACCTGGACTTCCTCCTGACACCAACAATGCACAGGGGATACTTCACTTTCCCCAACCTTCAGCTATGTCCAACATATTGTGAAATTACCTTACATGTACATAACTATAAGATTTTTTAAAAAGCCCATCTTATAAACAAACACCTATAAACAATTTCTAGTTTACTAATTCAATTTTCTACAGTCTAACAGTTTCTGGTTGTGCAGCCTAACGCCCGCTCAAAGTACACCATTCGCTCACCAGTCCTTTGTGAATCAGCTGATGTAAGCTGATCAGGCCCCTGTGTACTTCAAAATGTTGACAAAAACACTACAGGGATATATGCACAGAGCAAGGGTCCCAGTCTACAAAGGGAAGGGAAGGCAGTGTCTTACCAATACCATCAGCTAACTTGACCTATAGTAAATGATACATATATCGATCAATTTAAATACAACTAAGAAATCCTTGTAGAAGAAAATGAATGACATTCCATTTCATTCTGTTACTAACTACTCCAGACCTGGCCATCAGCTTGATGGAATCAGAAAAACTCGTGTGTGTGTGTGTGTGTGTGTGTGTGTGTGTGTGTGTGTGTGTGTTTGTAAAAAGAGACTGATGATAGAAACAGGAACAAGGCTGAATTAGACATATCAGTCCAGCCTTCTGTTCAGAAGCTATTTTCTTAAACAGAGTTTAGGCTGACATTTTAAAACATCTTCCACTGCTTTCATGAAAATGGCATAATTGTTCCTTTACTTCAAATGCACACACTTTCCTTTAATCTGGTTTGCAGTCCAATCAAAATGAAGTACAATATGGAAAATGAAGCATGAAGTTGGTTGTAGTAGATCAACCACCTTAACCCTTGTGCCGGCAGGACTGTTGACCAAAAGGTCGTGGTCTGAATCTGGGGAGTGAGGTGAGCTCCCATATGCCAGCTCCAGCTTCTCATGCAGGGACATGAGATAAACATCCCACAAGATGGTAAAACATCTGGGCATTCCCTGGGCAAACGGCCTTGCAAATGGCCAGTTCTCTCACACCAGAAGCAACTTGCAGTTTCTCAAGACACGGAAAAAACCCTCACATATATGAGGATTACATAGTCATTCAAAAGTTGACAGAGTGAAAACTAGAGAAGACTCCCCCACTTTAATGGCTATGCAGAAGAAGAAATATCTGCAGGTGTAACTTATTAACTGGTTGTCTGACAAGCAACATTTGCTGAAATTCCCTCTTATATACAACCATTAAAGGTACAAGAACCCACACTAGTTTTCCTTGATCAGGTGTTTTAAAAGCAAAACCTCTGCAGGAAAACAAGAGAAAATTATCAAGAACTATTTAGCACTACTGTACTGTAAATATCCATAATATTTGTTCACTGAGAATATAATATGGCTCTCCTTCTTATATAGCTGTTGAAGCTGGAAGGGTTCATCCAGTTCATCAACTGGTTACTGAGAATGTGGGAAATTAGAGAAGGGATAGTTGTCCGCAACTGTCATGACCACTGCTTTTCCACCACTAGCAGCAACAGGGGAAAATATGGCAATTGAGCTCACTGGAATAAGGAAAGAAGCTTTCACTGCCATCCCCCTCTTTCCTGGGCACTGACATGCATGTATGTACACATACGACTCTTGGTCCCCAGCAGACTTTGCAGTCAACCCTCAGAACTGAATTGGCTACAGTCATCTAAAGCTGCATGCTTAAAAACCAAACTTTCCACAAGAAGAGGAATGAGTGAAAAGTTTCTTTGGTTTCTCTGTTCCCCAGAAACTAGAATGTGCGAAGTTCTTCAATGCAGGGAATTTCCATCTACATGTAAGTTTGTACATACAGTCATAGATAACTTTTCCTAACATCATACAATTCAAGCATAAGAAACTGCTGCCTCAGATGCTCTTTCAAAAGAACTACTTCACTAATTCTTAGGCTACTCTAGGACACTTCAGAAGAAAATGAAATTAAATGTTAACACAAGTGTACAGTTGTAACAGAGATCTGAATTACTGTATCTTAATGCAGACTTAAATTATAAACTGAATCATTTAGTCACACTAAAATGTTGCTTTGTCACACGAACGATCAAGAATGAAATTGACAATATCAATGTCTGCAATATAACTACAAAGAAAGAAGAAATTGACATTTTTAAACAAAGGAAAATAAAAATTGGATGACACAATCTTCCACAATCACATTCCCTTCCAGTACCTCAACTCCTTTTCCAAGAGCTGTCTGTCCTAAACCACTGTAAAACATTACCGTATTTTGGTTAATTTTGGTTAGTTTTTATTTATAGTAATGGCTGCTCTATTTTCTGTGATGTGTCCTGTTTTGATGTAATCTGCTATATATCTCTTTGTTGGCACTAAATGTTTGCCATATGTGTTGGAAACTGCCCTGAGTCCCTCCGGGGAGATGTTGTTGTTGTTGTTGTTGTTGTTGTTGTTGTAGTAGTAGTATTCCTGAGCCCCTAGTGGCACAATGAGTTAAACTCTTTTGCCAGCAGATCTGCTGACCAAAAGCTCAGCGGTTCGAATCCAGGGAGAGTGGGTTGAGCTCCCTCTGTCAGCTCCAGTTCCCCATGTGGGGACATGAGAGAAGCCTCCCACAAGTATGGTAAAACATCTGGCTGTCCCCTGGGCAATGTCCTTGCAGATGGCCAATTTTCTGACACCAGAAGTGACTTGAAGTTTCTCAAGTCATTCCTGACATGAAGAAAAATTATATTCCATCTGTCCCTCTCTCTATTATATCTTACTCACTCAATCCTCTACATTTTACACTAGAATAGTATTGTCCATAACTAGTACCCTAGTTTGCATGCAGTTGGTGAATTAAAATACACTTTTTTAAAATTTATGTTTTTAGCAACTATATCAGTTCTGAGCTGCCAAAGTGATTGGAAAACCTCAGACAGCTTAAGTGGTCAAGCGGGGAAAGGAAGGGGCTTGAGGCTGTTAGGAATTGTGGGAGTTGGAGTCCAAAATGGATGGAAAGCCCAAGTTTGCCCATACTGTTTTAGAAGCATTACCCAAATGGTAGAATATATTTTATTTCTGAATCTGATCGTAATTATTTTGTACTTCCTTGTCCAAAACAGAGGCCCTAAAACTGCACATCCTAATCTTAAATATATAGTTTTATATTTGTTTATATATATGTGTGTGTGTGTGTGTGTGTAGTTATAATAACAAGTATCAGTTCATCAAGAAAGAAATGTGTTTACATGGCCACTGCAACACAGTGTAAATTATTGCTCTATCTATCTGGACACCGAGAGAGTTAAATAGATTATATATGGGATATAATAATCCATATATGACCATTATGACATTTTCTCTCTAGCGAAAAGAAAAAGTTCTCTACCAAACACAAGAAAAGGAGGAAGGGGCAAAAAAAAGAAAGAGTTCTGTTCTTTGAACCTGGCTTACTTCTTTTCTTTTCTTCTCTTTTTGGCAGAACAATTCTCTATCCAGAAAGAGTAGGTAGTGTGATTTCTGCTTGGTTACAAATCTGCTGAGGAGATCTCCACTTTTAGAGCTTTTTGAGTTTAAATTGTAACTAGAATGAGGTATCCTTTCGCTGTCTGGAATCAGAGAAATCACTGATAAATGTTCAAACAAAAGCCACAAGAGGATTTGCAGCCGTTCTTAGGGTGTATTGTCGAAGGCTTGAGAACACAGAAATTCTGGACTGCTCTAACAACTACCATGTCAGACTACACAGAGAAGCCACAAGCATTGGACAATTTCAACAGAAATGAGAAAACCATGAAAACGAACAAAATCTGGCTACCAGTATTTCAAAACTCTAAAATTAGGACAGTAAATAAAGAACAACACTCAAAACCAGATAAATTCCAGATAAGAAACAATCAGGGCCAGGTAATCCCCTCCCAACAAAGGATTCCCTCAGGCAGTAAGAAGCCAGACCTTGAAACTGCTAGGCCATTAAATGCTAACCAAGGCAGCCAATTGAAACATTCCCACTTACCCCTAACAGACAAGAGTTGTGGAAGGCTTTCATGGCTAGAATCGTTGGACTGTATGGCCATGTTCCAGAAGCATACTCTCCTGATGTTTCGCCTGCATCTATGGCAGGCATCATCAGAGGTTGTGAGGAACATGGCCAAACAGCCCGGAAAAACTTACAATAACCCAGACAAGAGTTCTTTCCCCCACCCTGGACATTATTTCACAGGTACAAAAACCTCATTTTCCTAGTTTCTAACAGACCTCACAACACAACCTCTGAGGATGCCTGCCATAGATGCAGGCGAAACGTCAGGAGAGAGTGCTTCTGGAACATGGCCGTATAGCCCGGAACACTCAGAACAACCCGTTCTTAAGGTCTTTATTCCAGGCCACGCTGCAAAAAGCGCAAAGGACTGGAAGAACAGTAACTAACTTTAAAAGCCACGGTGCTTCTTCGTTTCAGCAGAAAGGTGAATGTATTATGTGTGGGTTTTCCTTTCAAAAGCACAACTTTCCCTGCTGCTGTGAAATGATCCAAGAGCAAACAGATGCCATCATTTGCTCCGCCACTGCTTTTCTATTAAAGACGAATGAAGAACCTATTAAATCTGGACCTATTTTGGAGGGGGGGGGGCTGCTGCTGGGAAGCCTCTCTCGGAGCCTCTCTTACCTGGCTCCTTCTCCTTTTGCTGGCCCGACTCTGCCCAGAAAAGAGTCACCATCCCTGACTCAAGAAAAAAAGGACCTGAAAACACGGTGTGGAAAGGAGAGGCGAAAGCAAAACCGGTTCCTTTGGCTCCCAAGGGCTGGCAAGGGATCAGAGCGAGGGTCTCGAAGCGAGAAGTCAGAGGCGGAGAGGTTTCGGAGGTTTCCCTCGCTCGGAAAGAGAAGTCACTGGAGTAGAGAAGAGGAACTTACATGTTGGCATGGTCCGCCTCAAGCCACCATCGTCTGCTGGGGGCCGGCGCCGCTCTTCTTCCCCTTCTTCTCCTTCCTCCTCTTTTCCCCGACCTTGTCCCGCCTATGTCCACAGTTTCTCGTGGGAAAGAGCTTCAGGAGCGCGCCTGCACCCCTTCCAAAGGAGCCCCCCAACTCTGTCCAGGCGAGGAGCGCCTCTCTTGATCGGGACCAGGCAGAGAAAGAGGAGGAGGAGGAGGAGGAGGCAGCGCTCCGTGTGCCTCCCTCCCTCCCTCTGCTCTGCTCTGCTCTGCTCTGCTCTGCTCTGGCGAAAAGCCCCTTCCAAAACTTTGGAGCCCAGTTGGGGGGGCGGCAGATCCCTGAGAGCCAAAGGCGCAGCTCCCCGGAGAGGCTGCCTTTGCGCCCTGCTCCCGCCCAGCGGCCAGAAAGAGGAGGCAGCCCTGGCGCCGGGCTTCCCTCCCAGGGAGATCCCCAAGAGGGACACCCCGGGCCTGCGGGGCCGCCTTCAGGCAGACTCAAGGGTAGTGGAGGTGAGGCTCCTTTGGGAGGGTCGCTAGATAAGGGTTCCCCGCCCACCTACCCTACTGCTATATAGTAATGGTAAAGGTTTTCCCCTGACATGAAGCCCAGTTGTGTCCGACTCTGGGGGGTGGTGCTCATCTCTATTTCTAAGCCTTAAGGACCTCATCACACTAGAGCAGGGGTTCTCAAACGTTTTAGACAGAGGGCCAGGTCACAGTCCCTCAAACTGTTGGAGGGCCGGATTATATTTTTTTTAAAAATGAATGAATTCCTATGCGCACTGCAAATATCTTATTTGTAGTGCAAAAAACACTTTAAAACAATATAAAAATTAAAATGAGCAATTTTAACAAATATAAATTTATTAGTATTTCAATGGGAAGTGTGGGCCTGCTTTTAGCAGATGCGATAGGGTTGTTGTTCTTGTGTGCTTTCAAGTCATTTCAGACTTAGGTTGACCCTGAGCAAGGGCCGGGTAAATGACCTTGGAGGGCCGTATCCGGCCCTCGGGCCATAGTTTGAGGACCCCTGCACTAGAGAATCTGGTTTCTGCCTCCTGCAGAATTCTGGGATTTGTAGTTTGTAGCAGCCTTTAACAACCCCACTAAACTACAAAGAAGAAGAAGAACTTTATTTTTCTACCCCGCCTCCATCTCCCTGAAGGGACCCAGGGCACCTTACATGGGGCCAAGCCCAGAATAACATACAATTAAAACAAGGCAAATAAAAAATTAAAACAACATATAATCGACATCAGAAACAAAACAAAACATCATAAGCAATAACCATACATACTCCAAGTCTCATTTTGGGGAGGGCTGGTGTACAAACAAGTTAGAGGATAGGCTGAATTCTGCAGGAGGCAGAAACCAGATTTAAAATGGATTAGTTCTCTAGTGTGATGAAGTAGTAAAAGTCTGTGTTGGGTAATGGTATGATAGCTGGGTCCGGAGGCTCTGAGCCTTACGGAGATGCCACATTGGTCCTTTGGGAGTGCTGTTTGCGCAAGAGAGACTTAGCTAATGTAAGCCAGGCCGGAGACAGATAATATAGAAGGAATGTAAGAGTTCTTTAATGGTGAAACCCTAACCCTAAACCTTACCTAAACCCTAACCTAAATCCTAACCCAAACCCTAAACCTTGCCCTAACCCATACCCTAAGCATCCTCTCCTTTCTAGCCTTTCTTCGCTCTCCCTGCTCTCCCCCTGCCCCCTCTCTTCCCTTATTCACAGCCGCCTTTGTGGCATCTCCATAAGGCTTGGAGCTTCCAGACCCAGCTATCATACTATCACCCTGCATTGTCCATAGACACCTCCAAGGTCATGTGGCCAGCATGACTGGATGTACCACCCTTACCTTTCCACCTGAGCAGTACCTATTGATCAACTATAGTTCTGTCCCCATGACACACTTTTCCTTGTCTTTAATGAAGGCTCAGTCCCATTATTCGCCCCTTCTGAGCTCCCCACAGACACATACTTTCCATTTACTTTTTTCACTCAAGGTTTTATCAGTCTTATTCTGTGCATTTGGCCCACCCACCATGCTTTTATTTTATTTCTCCATCACGTTATTTTGCATCTGTTTATTTCGTTTTTGGTTATTTTATGTATTTTATTGTTTGCTGTTTGTATTTTATTTTATTTTATTGTACTGTAATTCTGGGCTTGGCCTCATGTTAGCCACCCTGAGACCCCTTTGGGGAGATGGTGGCAGGGTATAAATAAAGATGATGATGATGATGATGATGATGATGATGACGATTATTATTACTCACATTTCCATGTTTTTGAACTGCTAGGTTGACAAAAGCTGGGGCTATCAGTGGAAGCTTATGCCACTCCCCAGAGTCAATCAGAAAACTGATCAGAAAAAATGCAGTGGACCACATAAGTTCTAGTTTCTTAAATATGGTTATCATGGTGTTTTGTGGATGAGCAGATGACAACTGTAAGTAAGTAAGTAAATTTTATTACTGTTGATGACCAGATCATAACAGGGGAACCCAGCTCTGCACATCCACATCAAAACCAAGGGGTTATATACTTCAGATGACAAATGGTAGATGACATATGATCTCTAAAAAAGGTAAACATTTCCCCTGACATTAAGTCTAGTTCTAGTTTCTAGTGTCAGACTCTGTGGGGTCATGCTCCATTTCTAAGCCAAAGAGCTAGTATTTTCCCTTGATACCTGTAAGATCATATGGCCAGCATGACTGCATGGAGCATTGTTAGCTTCCCTCAGAAGTGATACCTATTGATCTACTTACCTTTGCATTTTTCTGAACTGAAGGTTGGCAGAAGCTGGGCCTAACAGCAAGAGCTCACTCCACTCCCTGGATTTGAACTGCCAACCTTTCAGTCAGCAAGTTCAGCAGCTCAGCAGTTTAACCCACTGTGCCACCAGGGGGGCTGTGTTCTCTATGTATCTTAAAAACTAGAACTGATAGGGCAGGCATGGGCAAACTTCATCCTTCCAGGTGTTTTGAACTTCAACTCCCTGAAATCCCAGCCAGCTTACTGGCTGTTAGGAATTGTGGGAATTGAAGTCCAAAACACTTGGAAAGCCAAAGTTTTCCCATACCTGCGATAGGAGAAAATGTGTGCTATTTTTGGAATCAGCAGGTCAAATATGCCCAGAAACAGGGACAACATTTGAGGCATCAAAATGTGTGTTGTCCAGTGATATCATTATATTGTTGAAGGTTTTCATGGCTGCAATCACTGGGGTGCTGTGTGATCTCCAGGCTGTCTGGCCATGTTTTGGCAGCATTTTGTCTTGCCGTATCATGATATATATGCAAGTATTCCAAAATCTGATAAAATATGAAATTCAGAACACTTCTGGTAATCTGTAAACCATTTCAAGGATGCTCAACCTGTATTCCTTGGTGATTACTCCATACACAGGCACAATTCTACTTACTATCCAGGACAGATACTAAGCAGGACAGATTAAATGTCTGTCTTTGGGCCAGGTGAACACTGAGTCTGCTAAAATAAAACCAATTAGTATGATTTTAATACAGAACTCCTCAGTCCTGTGATAAACCAAAGTTATGGACCTATGTCCATTAGTGGGGATGAAGTACCCCCTAAAACTAGGCTGGAGTGAATGAATCCCCAGAAATGATCAGGCCAAATTAAACCACTGACAGTCCTGTGTAATTGAGCTTCTTCAATAATTAAAGGCGTACTAAATGCAGAAGTGTTATGTATGCATGTGTGTGCATTTAAAACCTTTATCTAGTGGATTGAGTACTGAACTATGACTTGTCATGTCTAGGGGCCATCGTGACAAAGGGGGCAGGGGGGACATGTAGGGTGGCCACCCAGTGGCACCACACCGTGTTCAGTATGGCTGGGCACTGGAGACTCTCTCCCACTCTGTGGTGGCTGAGTGGACTCCAGTCAGGACTGATCCAACATCCAGCACACTGGATCAGGCCTACATTTTCAGGACATGTAGATGGCACCTTTGAGATAACTCTTTGTGGCTTTCTCATGATCCTTGGAGAAAGAATGTTCATTGTTCATGTTCATTTATATCTAAACCTCTAAGATTGTACATCAATCTATCAAAGTGGATTATAGTCATGATGTGATAAATCTGTTATCTTAAATTGCAACACAATCCTATTGTTTTACTGCAACACAGACCAACTCAGTTGCTCCTTTGAAAGCAACATGACAAACAATTACTGAGGTAAAATCTCTGCTCATGAGGAATAATCTTGTCTTGTTTCCCAAATTGCCTTCTGATAGCAAACAATCTATAGCAAAAGTTGATATGTAATATTAATTGTCCATATCTTTGCAAAACTGCTCAAAAAGGCAAATTTGGCTATTTACTCTTTATCAAATTGACACTTTTGACTGATTTAAGGTTTATTTTAGTTTTTCTGATGTTTTCTTAGCAACTAGTGCTTTCCAATATATTCAATCATTCAAACTGACTCTGTGGCCCCTTCCACACAGCTAAATAAAATCCCAGAGTTTCTTCTTTGAGCTGGAATATTTGGCAGTGTGGACACATAACCCAATTCAAAGCAGATATTGTGGGATTTTCTGCCATGATATTCTGGGTTATATGGCTGTGTGGAAGGGCCCTAAGTCTCTCATCCCACAAATATACTCTTCTTTTTATGCATGAATTTCTTTGAGAATATTCTCAACATAACTACAGGAAATTATTCTCAGAAGCAACAGACATTCTGAGATGATGGGGGCACCACATGAACAACACTAGAATTTGGTGCAGCTATGAAGGCAGTTTTTTGTGCAGAAGGTAGCGGAAAATGCTACGCTTTTTATCAGCAATTAGGCATCATTCACTTGTATGTCCTCAGCATGAACATAAACAGCAAGTGTTTTTTCCCCTATCAGTGAGTTATTTTTATTACTTTTGAATGGTCTGAGATATTGTAATGAAACGTTATACAAATGATAACTTCCATTGGCAAAAGACTCTTGCTCTTTGAGATCAATGCATGACCAGAAATGTTGCTATAGAGCTTCCTACCTATATGAAGATATGGAGAAACTGTCCTGTTAAAGAAGTTACAAAATAGCTCTGCTCAGTCCTATTACTCTGTGCAAATGAGCTGGATGAGGGAATTGTTTCTGCCAAGTTTCTCAAACCAAGCCCTTGATTGTTTTGATTGTTATAACTGTTTAACTGCTGTTTTTATACGTTTTGTATTATTGTGTAGGCATCGAATTGTGCCTGTTTGTAAGCTGCCCTGAGTCCCCCCTCGGGGGTTGAGAAGGGCGGGGTAGAAGTAAACGAAATAATAAATAAATAAATAAATAAATAAATAAATGCTTCTGCAGCTATACCATAGTTATTTGACAGAAACTACAGGGACACAATGCCCCCTTTTTTGTCAAAGTTTTAAGACAACCATCAGAATCTAGCTCAATCTAATGTATAAAAAGAAAT